AGCCCCCCCCAGTTACGGGCATCGTCACCCCGGGTCGCGTCGCCGCGCTCTCTGTCCCCTCCTCCCTCCCCTCGGGATCCTGTGTCCCCTCCGCCCTCCCCTCGCGCCGCTTTCCTGCCTTCCCGAAAGTGTCTTCCCCTTCCATGCCGGAGAGGCTCTGGTTGCATTCGCTGCTTTAACCGCGAGTCCGGGGTTCGCGTGATGCCCCTGCCGAAATGCGGGTGCCCTCCTGCGGGTTGGGGTGCCGGGGGGGGCGCAGGGCCCTCCCGCAGCCGAGGGACGAGGCCCCGGGCCCGCTCTGCCCCACACGGCTCCGTATCCTCCGGATCGCGGCTGCAAATCCCCAGCCCCGGCTGTGATGGAGGAGCCCGCTCAGCTCCCGCTGCTGCGGCTGCTTCTCCCATTGGATATGGAGGGAAAAGCCGCCCGGAGCAGGTCCTGGCTCCCTTGGCTGCTGCTCTCAGTGAGAAGTTTGGGCCACACTAAATAGAGAGCTGCAAAAAGAGGCTTATTCCCCAAGCAGGGTCTCCATCACCAAGGCCTGCCAGGCTTCCTGAGCAGCCGGGCACGCGGCTCTGCGGCGCTGGCAGCATCAGGTGCCCGGGCTGCTCCTGGCCTGTCCCTGGTGGAAGCTCCTGGCCAGATCCAGAGCCTTTTGGCACCGCAAGCTCTGGTGCAGCCCTTGGTGCGGGACTCGCACTGCTCTGAGGGTGCAGTGAGTCCCTGTAATAAGTCAATGTATTCCGGGCTAAAGGAAAGAAAGGGGGGGAAATACAAAAACCAGAATGGGGCTGTGTGGGGTCGGCTGTGCTCAGGACTCAGTGGGCAGCTGCGTTTGCAGCTCAAGTGCCGCCTTTTCCCCATCTACGTGCCCTGGAGCCAGGGATGCTCTGCAGAATCCTTCCTGCTCCTGCAAGCGCCGCGGCTTGCGGGGAGGGAAGGCAAATGGCTGTAATTGATTTTTCCTCCCTTGCTGGCCTCGACCTGCTGGCTTGCAGCAGGTTTTATCCCCAGCCAGATGGGTGGTCCCCGGCCCAGCTGGCGACAGCGGCAGCCTGGCATCTAGTGCCTGGTGCTGGTAGTACAGAGCAGCTGGGGGCTCTGGCCTGGGTAGCCCCCAAAGCAGGGGCTGCATTTCAGGCCGGTGCTGGCAGGGCCTCCTCAGCTTGCACGATGTTTTGGGAGCTTTTATCAGAGAGGAAGCAGAAGGGTTTTCCCCTCCTTTCCGAGGCCTCGCCAGTAGCTCAGCCTCCAAGTGCCGTCAGCTGAGAAAAGAGCACAGGAACAGGGTGAACATGGCATGACACGAGCTCAGGGCGCAGCAAGAAAGACTTCTCGAGGCAGCCGGCTCGGCCCCTTCAACCACCCTCTGTGAGTGGTTTTCACCCATTAATTTATCTAATGGCTTTGGGAAAGCGGGCCAGCATTTGGCATTGGCAGCATCCCATGACGAGGAGCGCAGGGTTAACACCGCTGCCTCTGGTTTGCACCTCCCTGCTTGGCCTTGCACCCCAACAGTTCTCCACGTGCAGTCTGAAATCACCGCTCTGGCTCCAAGCAGGATGCTCAGAGCAGGGGCCTCCTGTCCTGGGTCGTGCCCATAAATGACATCATGAGGCATGAAGCTTAGCTTGCCAGGGCACCCTCTTTTCTTGGCTTTGCTTCCCTGGAAGGGAGGATATCGGGGAAAGGAAATCCTGGTCTCTGCATGCCCTGTGTGGAACACCAGTGGGCTGGAGAAGAAGGAAGGAGAGGAGCTGCATTTACACCAACCAGAACGGCTGGAGGTCATCGATTGCACCTCAAAGTCACATGCATGGGGACATCGCTGAAGTCATCAGGCTGTTGATCGAGGAGAAGCCCCAAGTCACCCTGGCCAGGTCCCTTGCAGCACCCTCTAAATAACAACCCTGCAGAGAGGCTGCAAAGAGACCGTGTCACCTGTGTGGGGACACCCTGGGGCTGTCCCAGGTGGGAGACACCAGACATCTCACCCACCCATGGCCCTGATGGGCATCACTGCTGTCCCGACAGGTCCGTCACCATGGGCTCGGTGGGAGCCGAGCGCTTCAAGGACGCCAGCCCGGCGGGGACGCCGGAGGGCAACGTGGTGATGAGCTTCAGCTTCGACAGCTACCAGCTGGAGGAGGAAGAGCTGCAGGGCAAAGGGAGCCAGGCCAAGGGCGTCCTCACCTTCATGGAGCCAGGTAAGGGCTCGGGGCAGGGGACACCCATGGGGGTGACAGGGACGGAGAGGAACCCACTGTCCACCTGGCACCCTATGGCTGATGGAGGGAAATGCCCAGCGGAAGAGCCAGGAGGGTCCAAGGACAGGGCTGTCCTGCTGGGCACCTGCTACCATGGGACCCATTTGGGAAGACAACAGGCCCTGAGCTACCTGTATCGCTGGTTTTCACTTCCCAGCAGTGTGGGAACTTCATGGTCTGCTTTTAATAGCCACAAATGGACCGAAACACCATAAAAGTGTCTAATGCCTTTTTTGGCCCTATTTGTACCTATTTTAGCCTGTGCCACATCCTGCAGCAGTGGGTCCTGATGTTTACCAGCAAATTGTGCGTTTGGTGGCTTGCCCCTCCAGCCGAGTTCTCTGCTTGTCTTGTGCCCACGGCACCTCCTGTCCTGCAGTTTTGTCCTTTCCCAGTGGTGCAGGGACTGGCCTTCACTGCGTGCTGGGCTGTTGGTGTCTCTGCCGCTGCATGGGGTCCAGCACCTCCTGGGTGCCGAGTTCAGCTGTTAGAGACGTTATCCAGCTCCTCTGAGCTAGGAGATGCTGATGATGGAGCATGCAGCACCTGCTCCCTCTCCTTCCCCTTTTCAGGGATAGTTTCTGAGGACCCTGAGCCCCAGGACCGATACCACGGGATTTACTTTGCCATGCTGCTGGCCGGGGTGGGATTTCTCCTGCCGTACAACAGCTTTATCACCGATGTGGACTATCTGCATCATAAATACCCAGGTAGGTCTTGTCTGCATCCTCAGCATGTCCTGGACCTGTGTCCCACACACCATGCTGGTGAGTGGGGAGGTGACACAGCGGCAGCTTCAGAGGGCACTGGAAAGGATGAGGGGACCCACTTGGGAAGCGGCCTGCACCCTCAGCATGTCGTGGACCTGTATCCCACACGCCACGCTGGTGAGTGGGGAGGTGACACAGGGGCAGCTTCAGGGGGCACTGGAAGAGGATGAGGGGACCCACTTGGGAAGCGGGTGAGCAATTTGGGTTGAGTTGCTCCTGCTGAGCTGTCCGGGCACTAGAGAGGCTGTTCCGAGCTCAAAAAGGCACCACGGTCCCCAGTCCTATGCGTAGGGACGGCTGGGTGGCTGTGCCAGCGCCCTGCCTCCTCCGCAGGGACCTCCATCGTCTTCGACATGAGCCTCACCTACATCCTGGTGGCCTTGGTGGCCGTCCTGCTCAACAACGCGCTCGTGGAGCTGCTGAGCTTGCACACGCGCATCACCGTGGGTGAGTGCGCGGCCCCGCGTGCCCGCGGTGGCTGTCACCGTCCCCTGCATCGCCCGCCTCCGTGTCCCCACTGCAGGCTACCTCCTCGCCCTGGGGCCCCTGCTCTTCGTCAGCATCTGCGACGTGTGGCTGGAGCTCTTCTCCCACCGGCAAGCGTACGCCATCAACCTCATCGCCGTGGGGGTGGTGGCCTTCGGCTGCACAGGTATGGCGGGGAGGACAGGGGACAAGGACAGCCCTTCCGCTAAGGATGGAATAACAGCCCCATCCCAAGGGTCCACACTTTCTTGGGACAAACCCCTGGTTGCCCATCCCACTGCCTGGTTCCCAAGGCCCAGATGTGCTGCCTGCCCTCAACGTCCCTGCGGGGAGGGGAAGAGGAGGAGGAGGCTTAAGCCAACAGCTCCTTGGCATGGGACCATCTGTGTTGGGCTCTTCTGCTCCTGAGGCTGTTTCTGTGATGGTTGAGTGGTCCTCTTCGCTCTTGGCGTGAGACACCTTCACTCCGCCTCTTCTGCCGGCCCTGCAAGATGTCTGGGGCCGCAATGTTCCCCACGAGCATCTCCCAGGGTGGCTCTGTACCCTCTGAGCTGCCCTGGCTTGATCGTGCACTGCAAAATCGCACCAGGGCTCCTGTTTCTGGGGCAGGGACGTTGCCAGCTGGGACAATAACCCTCCTCTTCCTCCTCTTTGCCCGTCTCTCTCTTCAAGTGCAGCAATCCAGCTTCTACGGCTACACCGGGCTGCTGCCCAAGCGCTACACGCAGGGGGTGATGACAGGCGAGAGTGAGTACCGCGCGTCCCCCGCGCCCCGCACGCGCCCGGGGCAGAGCCGCGGGGCTCTGTGGGCACCACCAAGGGATTTGGTGATGGATTGAAGTGGCTGAAGGAGCTCCCGTCCCCGCAGCCTCCATGCTGTCCATGCAGGGGTCCTAGCTGAGGGCTGGCTCCGTCCCACTGCTCAGCGTCGCGGCTCCGCTCTCGGGTGGCCTCGGTCACACTCTCTGGTGCTGGACGGGGCTCCTGACTCTCCCACTCTGGTTGTCCCACCAGGCACTGCCGGAGTCATCATCTCCCTCAGCCGTATCTTCACCAAGCTCCTGCTGTCGGACGAGAAGGAGAACACGGTCATCTTCTTCTTCATTTCCATTGGCATGGAGCTGACGTGCTTCATCCTGCACCTCCTGGTGAAGCGCACCCGCTTCGTCCGCTACTACACCAGCGGCTCCCACAAGGGCCTCCCCGAGTCCAAGGGGAGCAGGGAAAGCGGGACGGGATACCGGGTTCACCACGATGTCACTGCAGACGACGTCCGATTTGTAAGTGCTGGTCCGGGGCCGTGTCCCTGCTCAGCACCACGGTCCCTGCTACGCTCCCCTGCCTTGAACCTGCCGCCGTGGCACAGCTCAGGGTCCCTCTTCCTCCATGCAGGAGAACAGGACTCGAGGACAGCCAGTGTCCCCCACGGGCAGCCTGGCACATGAAGCAGAACTGGCCGGCAGTGGGACCTATATGCGCTTTGACGTCCCTCGGCCCAAAATCAAGAGGAGCTGGCCAAGTTTCAGAGGTAGGTCCTGAGCTTGCGGGGTAGCCTCATTGGGCATGCCGGTGAGGGCATGGGGTGTTTTAGGAGGCAGAATGAGCTATCCCCAATCTAGGACTTTAGGGAACGGATGTTCATGTCTTTCCGTGCCTAAGAATTTGGGAGGAAAAAAGAATATTTTTCCTGAGAAGCTCTTCCCAAATCCATGCATGTATGGGAGCTGCCATCTCACTGGTGTAGTCATTTTGGCTCTGACTTTTGGGCTGAGGCTGACAAGAGCCTCAAGGAAGGGGAAGCGCCCAGATTTATCCATTGGCGGCTGAGCTGCTCTGCCATCTCTTCCAGACATGCTGCTCCACCGCTACGTGGTCTCCAGGGTCATCTGGGCCTACATGCTCTCCATCGCGATGACCTACTTCATCACACTGTGCCTCTTTCCCGGGCTGGAGTCAGAGATCCACAACTGCACTCTGGGGGAATGGCTGCCCATCCTCATCATGGCCATCTTCAACCTTTCGGATTTCGTTGGCAAGGTAGGAGGACCTCCCTGATGGGGTGATGCTGAGGAATGGGCCTAGTGAAGACCTCTCACCTTGCCTTGGTGAGAGGAGCTGACTCCTTGCACCCTTTTTTTGCTGTTCTCCTTCCCTGCTCTTGGAAAGCTTCTTGGCTTTACCAAGGGCCATCTTCAACTCTTGGATCATCTAACCAGTGTGAGGTTGTTCATTGGGATGCTCTTGTCTCCTTCAGCCCGTTTCCCCTCTGTGCCCATCAATTTGGTCCCCTCTTCATCCCTCTCCTCCATGCAGACCTTGCTTTGCTTTTCCCCAGTGGTTTCTCCCCTCTTTGATTCAGATCCTGGCTGCCCTGCCTTATGACTGGAGAGGGACCCACCTCCTCATCTACTCCTGCCTCCGTGTGGTCTTCATCCCCCTCTTCATCATGTGCGTGTACCCTAATGGCAAACCCACCTTCGGCCACCCCGCGTGGCCCTGCATCTTCTCCCTCCTCATGGGCATCACCAACGGCTACTTCGGCAGCGTTCCCATGATCCTGGCCGCCGGCACAGTGAGCCCGGAGCAGCGGGAGCTGGCAGGTAGGAGCGCACGGTGCTGGTGGGATTGGCTTGGGACAGCAGCAGGACCCTGATGCCCCTTGTCCCTTGCTCTGCAGGTAACACCATGACCGTGTCCTACATGACGGGGCTGACGCTGGGCTCCGCCGTGGCCTACTTCGCCTACAGCCTCACCAGCGCGTCCCACAGCAGCTGCTTCCACACCGAAACCCTCAATGGCTCCTTCACAGCAGGGTACTGAGCCCGGCACCGGTGACGGAGCGGGGCCGGTTGCAGGAACGGGAGGAACCACCCCCCCCCCGGCCGGTCCCTGCCCCAGGGTGGCTGTGGGTGTCCTGGCCACTGGGGCTCATCCGGAGCAGATCGGCTAGGAGAGAGCAGGGGGTTGGCGAGGAAGAGGAGGAGCAAGCGGCGAAGGCAACGCTCCTCCAGACTCTGGAAGGGCTGGGCAGGTGGATCGTGAAGTCGCTTGATGGACCTGCAGGTTGCATTGAAATCTTGACCCTTCCCAGATACTTGGACCCCTCCCCGAAGATATGTGCTAAAGCCCCAAATCACTTCTGCTGGCTGGAAAAAATACTTTTCTTTTTTGTTTTTGTCTGTTTTTTCTCTCCCCTGGGTGTGGGATGCAGGGGCCTGTTGCGAGCAAGCCAGGACAGACAGCCCATCCCTTCCCAAGGGCTGCTCTGGTGGCCTCCCAGCCCGCTCCAAGCTGGAGCCACCAACTCGTTCCCGGCCCAGAACGCGGTCCCTTCCCACACGCACTGGGACCTCCTGCCTGGGTGCCCTGTCTGTGCCCTCCTTTCCTGCGGGCACCCTGCACTGCTCAGAGAGCAAACGCCTTCCAGACCCAGGCATTAACTAGGATGAAGTCGTGGCCTTCCTCATCCTCTTGGGAAGGTGCTGGCCCCGCTTACCCCTCCTCCTCTCTTAGCTCCTTGCCACCACCTGGAGCCATGAAGAAAGGTTTTTTTTTTTAAAAAAAAAAAAAAAAAAAAGAGAGGAGCAGGCACGGAGGTGTTGATGAATAAATGATGTTTCTTTCTCCCTTTTTTCCACCCTTTTTTCCTTATCTCAAAGGCACCAGGGTGCACTCCTGGCTCCTCTCTGAGCGGGGCTGTGGCTCCATGGAGCCGTCGCTGGGACCCATCTAACGGCCAGGCCTGTGGCAGGGGCAGGCAGGACCCTCCTCCGTTATCTCCCACCCGACACCACAGTGTCCCTGTGACGGGGACTTTGTGACAGTCCAAACTGTTGCCCAAAGGGTGACCGCAGAGGTGGCTCCCAGCTGAGCCCTGGCGCGCTCATCACACCCATTGCCCTGCGCCTCGGCACATCCTGCTTGTCCATCTAGGCGCTTTGCACAGGCGGAGCTGAGGGGACAGTGGGGGACACAGGGGCCACCACCATGTAACGCACCTGGTTGTGGGTCCTCCTTGTCCTTCAGCAGGTCCCCAGGAGCCCCGGCAGCTGGCAGGAAGGTGGCACAGGTGGCAGAGGGGGCACATAGGGGGTGGCAGCGCTGAGGGTTGCTCCCTGGGGACTGCCTGGAGCTTCGGAGGTGCCGAGGAGCAGGGATGACCCAAAGAACCGGTTCCTGCTCCCCAGATGTGTCCCCATGGGCGGGCAGGTCACCAAGCCCCAAGAGTGGCCACAGGGATCCAGGTGGGGAGGATCCCGGGATCCCCTCCGCTCCTGGCACCTTCCTCCTCCCCATGAAGCCCCCCGGCCCCGGCTGCAGCCTCCACCTCCGGTGCCATCCCTGGGCCTGTCCCCTTGGAGCCCGGGGCAGGCAGGGACAAACACCCGGAGCAACAGGACACGGCCCCGCGAGGCCAAAAAGACACCATCGCCAGCAAGGCTGGGGGAATAAAGCAACAAAACCCACACAGTCACGAAGAGGGAGACAAAGAAAGATGCTTTGCCGGGTTTCTTTTTTTTTTTTTTTTCAATTATTTCTTTTTTTTTATGAAAAAAAGATCACACGAAGTTCTCCAACAAACAGAATGCCAAAAAAATCGTTTTAAACAAAACATAAAACAAAACAAAACAGAAAAAAAAAGACAAAAAAACCTGGCTCTCCTTTCCTCTCGATTGTCTGAAATATCCTTGTGTTCCATAGAAGGCAGTGGGTTTTAAGTGCTTTCTATTTAACATTAGCATAAAATCTCTCTCGCGCGCTCTCTCTCTCGCTCTTTTAAAATATCCGCACACAATTTGCTTCTAGAAGTACAGTACACTTTGAGCGTGGGGGGGTGTGCCTGTTCCCAGATCATTTACAATCACAATCCAACAGGAAATAAAAAATAATATTCTAAACGTCAGACTGTGTTCATTGCTGTCGTTGTCTTTTTTTCCTTTTTTTTTTTTTCTTTTTTATAATTTCATAATTTTTTTCACAGTTTTAAAAAGTTTATATTTATATATATATATTTATATTTATATTTATAATTAAAAAGTTGAATCCATTTAAAGACTTATAATACAGGAGGGCTAAAGAGTCTTTTGGTACATTAAAACTGTACAGTTTAGAGCCGCCACGCGGGGAGCGCCCGTGGCCTGGGGTAGAGATGGTTCGAGTTCAGCACCATGTGGTTCTTCTAAAGTGAGGGGATGGTTTGCAGGGGCATCCCGAGCTCCCGGCGCGGAGCGCGTCCGGCTCCGCGGTGCTCAGGAGTGTCTCCGTGTGCTCCGCAGCGCCGGGCGCTGCTTGCGAAGGTCAGTGCGTCTTTGTGGAGTTTTCTTCCGTTCCGTGGTTAAGTGCAAGGATGGTGCATTGGAGGGGGGATCCCTCTGTCCGCTCCCTGCGTGCGACGCTCCGTGGCTGCTGCTCCAGCGATGGAGAAGCAGCGGGTCCGGCCCCGTCCCGGTGGGATCCAGCTGGAGACTCAGCGATGGGCTCGGCCGCCCGGAGCCAGGGGCATGGAGCAGGCTGCTCCCATTCCCCATCCCGAGGCGACGGGCAGGGCTCCGGCTGCGGGAATGCGGCACGGCGGGGGCTCCGTGTGCTCCCTCCTCACACCCTGTGGATGCCAGCCAGGACTTCCCCCAGCTCCAGGGCTCCGCTTGGGCAAAGCTCCGGGGAAGGGCAGCCGGGAAGGCGGAATCTCTTCTGCCAAGTGGTAGCCCTGATGGCCTGTGGGCTCCTCTGCTCCAAGCCTTAGGAAGCGGCTCTTCCCAGGGGTTTCCTTCCCTGCATTGCTGCCCGCTCCGAAACGAGTTCCTTGTTCACCAAGTGTCACCCCTCAGCGTGTGCTCGCAGGGGGTCTCCCACAGGACGCCGAGGGAAGGAGCAGGAGGATTCACACCTTTTGTTCCAGGCAGCGGGAATGCGGCCTCCAAGGTCCCACTGGCTCCTTTTCCATCCCAGAGAATCTCTCCTGCCATCCCATGTTCTGCTCCTTCGTGCTCCATACGTACTGGGCTTCCAGGGAAAGGGCACTGTGAAAAGGCGCTGAGAGGATCGAGACGAGGCGCTGAGAGAGACTCATCTCCTTTTTCTTCCACCCTGTCCTTCCTAAAGGGTCATGCGAAACTGAGCAGGAAAAGGAATATCAGGACGGAGAAGAGCGCACGCAGAAGGCCAGCGGGTGTCCTTCCACGCACAGGCAGCTTCTGGGGAAACGATGGGGACAAATGACACAAAAGGGATCCCTCCTGCTGGGGGGCCCCGCTGGTGAAATGATCATGAGACCCATGTGCTTTCCAGGACCAAAAAGGAGGAAGGGAGAAGTTGGTCAAGTGTCACCTTAATTAAAGTCACTTCCAGAAGAGCCTTAGGCTTTAGGCATCACCACCACCCAACGGCATCTTCCACAAGGCCTGTAACTGCTTCCCCAAACCCTTTCTCCAGCCCTCTCCCTCCTCCTCGCTGTCTCTCGCGCTCTCCTGTCTGTAGTGTGACACAGAAGTCATGAGCATTGAAAGAAACAATCATGTCGTCTGAACAGGCACGTCCTCAGGTTTGTCCCGTCCTTTCCCAGGGGGTGGCACATGTCCCCTGGGCGGTCAGCAGATGACAGGGACCCCGTCGGTGTTGAAGATCATGCCCGTAGTGGGCTCGTAGGTTCCTGCAAGGTAGTAGAGGTCCTCACTGTCTTGATACTTCTTTGTCTTTAGCATCTGCTCGTATTGATCCAGCCCAACAACAAGACACTTGTGTGAGATGGTCTGGACGTCATTTTCATCCACATGGGAGGACTGGTAGAGGGCTCGCTGCATGACACGAGTGGAGAAAGGGCGAGAGAGAGGGAACAGTTAGTCGATCACTCAAGTGTTTAAAACCATCTTCAATATGCAGGGAAAGCATCCACTGCAACCCCCACTACACAGTCCCCTGCAGCCCTTCCCAGCCCCACCAACCTCCATGAAGTCCTTCCTCTGGTTGGATGCCTGCAACGCTGTGGACAGACTCCTGCCGGATTTCTGATCCCAGCGCTATGCCCAAGAGAAAAAGAGGGACAAAAATGCAAACGAAGGTGAATTAATGGTTTTTCCAACAACGTTCTGTCCACCACATGTACCTTCAGACATCTCCCATCATGAAAATGAAAGGGCCACCCTGTCTTAGGCATCAGTAATGAACGGGGCCATAGGTATTTTGCCTTGTCTTTTGAACAAAGAACGGGGACAAGGAGCTTTGCAGGCAGCCTACCTTGCCTTCATTGAGTTTCTTCCCAGGATTGGTTTCTTCTGGGTGATAGAACCACTTGACCCGGACCACCATGTTGTTCCCCCACGACTCCCACATGCTCTGGATCCGGCCAATGTAGGGCAGGTTGGGGCGGCCCGCTGAGAGGAAGACGGCGCAGTCTCCGATGCGGATTATCTCCTTGCCCCGGACGATGGCCTTGTAGAAGAGCTTCCTGGCCTTCCCTTTCATTCCTCGTCTCTGTCAAGAGAGGAATATGCAGGTGAGATGCCAGGGATTGCTCACAGCTCCCCAGCCACCACTGCTCACCCCGTTTTCATCCTGCTCTTTGCTGGCACCAAAGCCAGACGTGGCCTGGCAATGACTGCAGCCACCCCCTCACTGGGACATGTCACCACGGCCTTGGCGCTACACCCCATCTATTGGAGAGCTGGGAGATGGGGCCGGGTGGCGGCCTTCGACCAGGACATCAGCAGGACATTCCCATAGGAATAAGTGGCAGAAGAGCACACGACCAACAAATGCCCTTCAAACTGGAGACATCCTCACAGCCAGGCACCAACAACCACCCTTCAAATTGGAGATATCCCCACATCCAGGCTGGGAACACACCAAGCCAGCAGAGTTTGGTCACTCCGGAAGGGAAAGGCTCCTTGGGGCAGCCCCAGAAGCCGGGGGGTAAGAGGCACCACTCGGCAAACCGGGGCGCTGAAGCCCTCAGAGATGGTCATTACCTGCGTGGGCTTCCCGAACCACTTCCAGAGCTGCCGCGCGGGGAGGAAGGCCGCGATCTTGGGCCGGTTCTCCACGGAGGGCAGGCGCTGGCGCTTGGCCAGCTCCTTGGTGGTGGGCAGGTGGATGCCCTCCCGCTTCTTGGGCCGGCTCTTGTTGCCGCCCGGCTGCGGCGGCGGCTGCGGCGGCGGCTGCTGCGGCGGCTGCTTCTGGCTCTGCGCGTGGGAGGATGCCCGGGATTTGCCGGCCTGCTTGGGTTGCTTGGGAGGGAGGCTCTGCTGCACGGAGGAGCTCGGCTGGGGCTCTGCTACTTCATCATCGGAGCTACAGGAGGAGTCTTCATCGGTGGTGGAGGAGGAAGAGGAGCTGGAGCTTGAGGAAGAGGAAGTCGATGAAGCAGAAGAGGAGGAAGAAGAGGAGGAGGAAGAAGAGCTGCTGCTAGAAGAGGAAGAAGAGGAGGAGTTGGAAGAAGAGAGAGGGGTGGATGCTCTCGAGCTGGCCGAGCTGCTATCCTGGGCCTCTCCCTGGTTCTTCTCGGCCTCCTCTTCTCCCTCCGACTCCGAGCTGCTGTCACTGCTATTGCTCTCCGACTCCTCCACAGCTGCTGGAGCTGTCGCCTTGTCCTCCTGGTCCTTGGAGGCAGCCAGGCTTTCACCCGAGCCCTCAAACTTCCCTGTGAAGTTGGTGGGACAAGGCTCTCCCTCGGCTCCCTTGCCTCGGGAAGACTTCTGCTTGCCCTCGGCACCCACGGCAGGGGAATAGCCCAGCCCCAGGAGACTCTTACTGTCCCTGCGACTCGCCAGGTTTGAGTCCTCCAGCATCCTCATTGCCTCCTTCATCTTCTTGGTTTTTGGAGACATCACGCCCTCATGGTCCAGCTTGATGAGGATTTCACTGTCATGCTTCCTCTGAGCCTTGGCCATGGTGCCAAACTCCTGTGTCTCTTCTGTGGCCCGTCCCTTCTTGGACTTGGCTTTTGCTGCTGAAGAATCACCCGAGCCAAAGGCTGCCAGTGTCCCTGGGAGGTCGCTGTAGGGCTCTGTGCTCAGGATGCTGCCAAACACAGCAGGCTGGTAAGCGGGCTGTGGAGGGCTGTGCAGCTTGGTGGAGATCTTCATCTTGCTGCCCTTCGACCGCTTTTCCTCTGTAGGGGCAGGAGAGCCTCCACCTGGCAGCGACTGGGCCTTTCGGGACCCTTTCACACTTGGTTTGCCCAGGCACGTTGGCTTCTCCGGGGCTGAAGAGGCACCAGGCGGGGAATCAACCTGATCTTTCTCTTCTGGCAAGGTGGCCTCTTCTGCAGAGGGGAAGAAGCACATAGGCATGATGATGTCTACCCAAGTGAGTACCATTACCTCAGACACAGCCTGACACTAACGCTGACTGCTCTCCGATCAAAGAATGGCTTGATCACAACTTCCTTAGATCTCCCTGAAGAGGAACAGGTCCTGACCTCACTGAACAGACTTAATAAGGAGCCTGGGCCAGCCTGGGGTGATGCCAACACCTATGAGTGGCTGACTGGCAATGCCCAAGGGTGCTGCTTTGACCACACAGGAACCAAACTGCACATACCCTGCATCCTTGGCCCTGCTGATGGCCTCTGAGGTGCTCTGAATGACAGAAGGAAGCTCTCTGAGCCAGCCTCCTGCAAACTGTAGCTGCTGCAGAGAGGTCTCATGCTTGAGTGCTCTGCTGGGACCAAGCAGTGCATCCATTTCCCTCCAGACCTTGACCCAAGCAACTGTCCTAAGCCAGGAAGAGCAATGGGGAACAGCACAAGGGCTCTCCCAGTTTCAGGTCAGGCAGCAGTGACTACTTACCAGCTTTCGCCTTGACACTTGGCTTTCTCCCACGTCCTTTGCCTTTTGACATGGTCTCCTCTGACCCTAGGGTAGCTCCCTCTTTTCCTTCTCCAGTATCCTTGCTGGATTTGCGGCTACGGCGCTTGGTGCTGGGCACCAAGAGGGCTGGGGAGGGCTCAGCACCTGCAACAGGTCAAGCAGATGCTCACAGGCAATCAAACAACACACAAAACAGAGAGGAAACATAGGGAACACACCCATGTCAGTACTACAATAGGGATTTTTCTTAGTAAGTTACTTTTCACAGCCGTAAGTAATGGTGTAACCTTTGTGTACCAAAGTCTGGGAATTAGTCCCAAAATCTCAGAGCCTGATGGCCCCAGGTTCCCTGAGTTTGATGGCAGGAAGCATCACACAAAAAGCAGAGCAACAGGACTCACACTGGATCTTGTAGTCAGGTGGCAGAAGCCGAATGTGAGACAGTGGGATGCGTCCTGTGTCCCCATCATCAAACTCTACCGTGATGAGATCACCGTCTTCCTCCAGATCCAGGGTTCCTACGAGTTTGGAGGACAAAAGAAAAAGGCTAGGAATAAATACGAGATCATAAACCACACATCAGGGAAGGGTAGACAAGGGAGGTGGACAGGCATATGTGAATGACAGATATATTTATTGGTAGCAGATCCAAATCAGATTATGCTGGTCAACTGCAGTGTGAAATCTGCTCCGTCATGGTCAGGCTGAAGGGCCTGGAGCAGATATAACCTGACAGGGACAGTGGAACAGGCAGAACAGACCTGCTTCTGCTGCTGGCACTCCCAGGATTCAAGAAGTAGATGGGATCCAATCCTGCACGAGCTCCCAAGTATCCTGTACCCACTATTCCTACACATCTGTGCAGGCAGAGAGCAGAAGGCTCACTACACAGTGAAAAATACCTGGTAACACTAACATCATCCACCAAGTGCAAATTTTTCCTGTCAGGGTTTAACAGCTGCTTCAGTTTGACTTGCCATCTCCTCTCCCTATTTCCATCTATACTTGCAGAAATTCATTTTTCTTTTTTTTTTTTTGACCTGCACTTTGTAACTACTCTCACAGAAGCACAACCTCCTTTTTTTGTTTTCTCTGCAAAAGAAATAAGCTGTGTTCCCTTCCTCTCTCCCTGCATCAATACCTCCTGTCTATACACTGCAAATAACAATTCCTCATAAACATGTACAGTGTGACAGTGTGACAGTGTGACAGTGTGACAAAGGCAACACCAGTCACAGCAGAAGAGTCCAGGGCTCTTCACTAGCCTCTTAACAGGGCCAGACCGGGAAGGATCAGGAGTTGGTGTGCCGGAGTCTGCTGTGAGTGTGCAGGTGATTTAAAAACCTCCACCACGTTAGCAATCATGGACCGTAGGCTGGAGTCAATACCTGCCATTTGAAGAGTGCTGAATTTGCTGGTATTTTAAGCTCCTAAATCCCTCAGACCTCTTCTTGCAAGAGCATGGCTCCTGGACCACGACATGTTACTACACCAGTATCCTCACATTGTTGAGCACAGCCAGAGAGAAATGGGATGGGATCCCTGTAACACTCATAGCAGACCTCACGGCTGTCCCAGATAAACCTGGGGTCTCTCTGGACACACAGGTTGAGGTGTCCTTGCTTCACAGTGCTGGGGACGGAGAGCTTACCTCGGACAACCGTCCCCGGGTAGAGGCAGCGGTACTGCTGGCTCCAGTAGGCTGCAATCCTCGTGCCCTCGGGCAGGAATCGCACAGAAGGAGGTTTCACATCAATGATCTGCTCAGGGCAAGAGGGAGGCAATTACTGATGTTCCTGGCACCAGCACAGACCATCCCACCACACCTGGCACGTAGCTATGCCGTTCTGGAGAAGGCAAAGGACAGTCTTCCAGCTGGGAAACAGCCACCTGCCTCCTCAAAGGGCAGCGTGAAGGACTATTCCCACTGGCACACAGGGCTGGAGCTCCAGCAAGGAACTCAGTCCATGACGCAGCCACCAGCACCAAGGGGAGCTCTGCCCAGACCAGCCACAGACTGGGAATCCCCCCCTGACTGAAGGGGGACTTCCCTTCAGCCTCCTCCACCCCCAAACAGGGCCAGGTTACCAGGGACAGGCCCTTCTTGGCCTCACGTACCGCTTCCTGCAAGAGCTGCTCCAGGCAGTAGATGTGGGGACGGTTTCCCCTCTCGCCCTCCACCACTACACGGTATCTGAAACACAAAGCTCAGTCACACAGAGCACGCAGAGGTTGTCACCTCAGTCAGCTAACACCTCCCTCTGAGCCCTGCCACCAGGTTAGCTGAGAACATGTAATGAGGGATAACTGGATTTTCCTCAGCACTGGCAAACGAGAGCAAACTCTGTTTCCCTTTATGCTAGACTCTCTCTGTCTCTTTTCATAGCCCCAAAGTCTTCCCTTGAATCAGCTACACCCTGCTGAGATATGGGAGCCCTTTAACTTACATGTCAGGTGAATGCACCGTCTTGACGTGACCAGCGTAGAGCAGCTTGTCATCCATGGGGATGAGGACACGCAGGCCATCTTTCAGCTCATCCTTGTCAATTATGCAGGAGCGGGGAGCTGTGAGGTGTTGGAGCAAGATGGAGATTAGAGAGCTTCGTACGTGCAAAAGCAATAGTAAGGGGAGAGGGATATCTGATGGTCCCAGCATCTCCTGCCCCTACAAAGGGGCCAGCAAGTCCTTTGCCAAAAGGGCTGTGTCTCTTTCAAGCACTACTGGAAGGACAAAAGACCTCCTTTTCAGGGACAATAATGCACTGGCTAATGGAAACAGGGCAGCTCAGAGACTGGACTTTAGACATCAAATACAGCTGGTTACTCTGATGAGGCTTACACTGGGCAAGCCAAATTGACTAGAAAGGTGGGACCTTCACCTCAAAGACTCATGCTCTTGTCAAACAACACAGGAAAAATGGACAGCCTTTCTCTGAGCAACCCTGGGAAACTCCCAGCTCTTCCACCTGCACTTTTAGCCCCCTTTTCCCTCCTTCCCTCACCTGGTGTGGGTGGCCGCTCGACCAGCATGCTCAATGGGATGTTCTCATCCTCGGAGAAGCTGCTGTCTTGGTTGGGTTCAAAATCCTCCTCAGCCGCCATGCTCTCCATGAGCTTGCTCACTGCTCCTCCTTTCCCTCGGTTCTGCAGGAGAGCAAGCAGGATGTCAGCGGGATGCCAAGAAGCAACAGCTTGACCCCATCTCACCTGCCCTCAGCAGCAAATAACTTGAGGACGTTGAGACAAACTCATTTTCATCCCCAGCCATGTTAATCACTGCAGAGTTAAGTGGCGTACCCCAACTTGCCTTTTGGATCCACAAGGACCTTTAGTTTCCTAGGCTTCTTCTCAAGCACTACTGCCAGCTGAGCAACAGCCCTGTCACACATCCTAGCTGCAGCGGCCTCCTGGGCATTACAAGAGATGCTGAGAAGAGTCTGCATTCGCCCACGCTTTGTCTTCACAAAACAGGTAACAAACACCACAGTACTGCTCTGCATTCGCCCACGTTTTGTCTTCACAAAACAGGTAACAAACACTGCTTCTGAAAGTCCTGCAGTCTGTTTCTTGCTGTTATGCATGGCCAATAACCACTATACTCAGAAAGCAGGCAAAATGTTTGCAGTCATGTGTTTTATGAGAGAAGACAGGCCACAGTAATGGAGGAGAGACCAGTGGTGACCTGGCATGGATCAGATCACTCAGTGGTGAACAGAGCAACTCTGTCATCATCATCTCCTACCTCTCTGCTGTCCTTGAAAGCTTCCTCTGCCTCTGTGATGGCCTTAGAGAAAATGCTGCCTGATTTATCTGGGGACTAAATCAGGCTAACAGCATATGGTAGGCACATGTACCCACTGTTAGCCTTCCTTGGACTTCTGACTTCTGAGACCAGCATTTTGCCTCTAAAGCACATAGCATGCTTTATTTGTGCATGTATTTTTCCCCCCTCACATTGCAGCAAGTCATGAAAAGAGCAGAACTCTACTGGCCAAGTCCAGCTGGCCCTAACCTAGAACAAGCCCCTCACCTCTTTCTTCACCTCCTTGGTTTTCACCTTTGCTTTGCTCTTCTTGGTGGAGCTGAGGGCATTTGCCAGGCTGACTCGGACATCAGATGGGGAGCTGGGAATGCCAGGAGGGGACATGGATGAGGAGGAGGAGCAGCAGGGTACTTCTTTACCCTTCTTCCGCTGCTAAGAGGAAAAAAAAAAAAGGGGGGGGAAAAGAAAATATCTCCCATAAGTAAAGAAACAGAATTAAGAAAGATCACGGTCCAGGGAGAGGTGAAACGTGCAGCAAAGCAGGGTGTACACGGGCAGGATGACATTAAGCCAGGTACTGCCTCACATCCTGTCTCTCCCAGTGCTGCATTCAGGGATCACACTGCCCAGCAAGAGCTCTTCACTGTCTCAGAGAGCAACTCCTGTCCATCAAGCTTTCCCTCCAAGGATCCAAGGAGATCCAAGCTGACCTCATGTCCCAGCTTGTCTAACTCTCCCCACCACCAATGTTCCCCATACCTCCATCAGGAGCTAAAGGGAGCCAACTTTTCAGCAAGCTGAAGAGCCAGCAATTAGGGGGTGACTCCAGGCACTACCAGCCCAGCACGGTCCCCTTGCAAGACCACATAAATAGATAAACAGCCTTTAAGGTTATTGTACAGAGCCACAATTCAGCAAACCAACAACAAAGGCTGAGCTTGCAGAGTGGGTAAGAGTTTTCACAAAGGTTTAAAGGCAGGATTTCCACTCTGCGCAATCCAGGCAGGGTGAATTCGGGACACAGAGGGTGCCACAACAACCTGCTCTACTCAAATGCAATAGGTTTCTAATTCCTGAGAGCCAGACCCAAGCCTAAGAGTTCCTCTGGGAGTACATGGGGCTCGTGGTGGTGGTGGTGGTGGGAACAAGAGACACTCAAACAGCACCAAAATAATGGTTGAGACGGGCTCAGCTCTCCTCTTTCCTAGCGGATTTCATAGCCCTCCCTTCACCCTGAACTTCCAAGAGCCACATTGCTCCATATCAACCCTGTCAATACGGTCCTCACCTTGCTTAGATCCTTCCTCTCCTTCCCCTTGCTGCCCTCCTTTTTGGGGCTCATGGGTGCCCCCTTGCCACAGCGCCCCTGCTTGGAGACCGGAGTGGAGCTGGTGGGTGCTGCAGGGGTCAGCATGGCTGAGGACATGGTGGCATCGTGGAGGAAGATCCGTTCACTCCGGCGCCGGTTCCACAGGTCGTCGTCGCTGGCCTCCAGTCCAAACTCAAAGCTCAAGTCCTTGGGGGACTTGAATTTCTTCAGCTTGCGGCCCTTCTCAGCCCCAAGCTTGGCCTTGTCAGCGCTGCCAGATCCGGTGTCGAGGCCACTTGGGGTCTGGCTCGGGGGGATGCTGCTCGAGTCCAGGGGTCCCTTCTTCCCCCGCAGCAGCCCTGAGGGCGATTTCTTCCTGATCTTGATCTCGCTCTCCGAGTCGGTGTACTCGAACTCCGTCCCTAAACACAACGAATTGAACCGTCAGCCAAGGCCTCGGCTGGGCCACATCCAGCTGAAGGCTTTGGGGTTTTGTGGGAGGTGCTGTGCCTGCTCCATGGCACTATTGGTGTCCCCTTCCCATCCCCACATCCTTCAGATCTGCACTCCCACCCTCCACCCCCAAAAGACAAGGCTTTCCCCAAAGATAAGGCTCTCCTGCCCCAATCCAAAGCTAATCCATTCAGGCAGTGTGGTTCACAATGTTCTCTGCCTCCGTTTTCTCCCTTCTGCCACACCAAAGCGCTGCAGGGAAGCTCACAAGATAAAGCTGATCTAGTATCTCCCCTCCACAAAACGGAGCTCCTCAGCTGAAGCAAAATACAAATTCCACACGCTGAGCCTTCCTCCCCTCTTGTGTGCAGGTCCTCTCTGGCCTCACCTAAATCTCAGCAGAATGATCTTAATGAATTAAGTAAACCCAGACTTCCAGCAGAATTTTTCCCATTGGTCAAGGGACACCAAAAAGCTTTTTATTGGCTCAAGTAATTGCTTTAGAGTCAAGAGAAGCAAATGATCACTTGTCTGTGGCAGATGGAAATCCCCACGCGCTCACCTGCACTCAGCATGGCAGCGCCCAGCAGCCTGAAATACTGTGGCAATGCCAACGTGCTCAGCACCTCCCGTGTGTTTCCCCTTGCCAGAACCCAATGTTTCCAGGGAAAAAACGGAAACTGAGGCACAGAGGCCATTCCCAGCGCTCTCACCCCCAGCTACTGGGCAGCATGGGTATGAGGCAAAGGTTTGGCTCAAGGTGCATGGGGACTGTGTTTTCATAGCTGGAAAGAAACTTGCCTAAGGTCAAGCACTAAGTGTGGGTCAAAGCAAGGAACTGAGCCCGGATTTTCTCAATCTGTTCCCTTCCCAAGGTATTGGACTTCACAGCATGGCAGAGCACCACTGAAGAGGAGGGAAACCTCATCAGAACCTGGTTCTCCCTCTCCAAAAAACAGCATCAGCCCAAGGTCCCTCACGTGCCCTCCTCCCATCTGCGACAGACCTACTCTCCCTGCAACACGTGCATGGGACTTCACACTCAGCCAGGTCTAAAATCAGACCTCGCTTCATGCAGGGGAAGTGACAGGAGGAGTTCAGAGCTGCAAGAGCCCCCAAGCCCGGCCTATTTGTCAAAATGAGCAATAGCTACAGGCACAGGCTGGCAGGAACCCTTCTCAAGCCCTGCACTGCTGTGATAACCACTGCCTGCAGGAGACCCTCGAGAAAGGATCGAATAGCATTCACGTGGGTGAACAAAAATGTGCAAGGCACAGACATGGAGAGAAAGCATCTTCTCTCCAAAACACCGTCTGCAGGAACCTGCACTCATTTTCCACCCAAATATCTTCCCCTGAGATAGCCCCAGCACGAACAGGAGAAGAGCAGGCTTTTAAAAATCGAAGCTGGCAACATTCAAGATGAAAACGCCATTGAAAATTACAACACAATTTCTCCTTTCTCGCTCTGCCACATGAGGTAATTTCTAGATGCTTCCAGTTTCAAGGAAGGTGGGTTACGAGACGGAGCAATGATAAATTCTTAACAGAGGCTGTTGGAACAAGTCGGCAAAAGCCTAATATAGCAAGGAAACATTGCTAAAACAAGCCCAGCTCCCTGGGAAGAGCTCATTTTCTATTCTGAAGCATGCTGTAAATTCTATTATCGCTTAATAAATATTAATAGGGAATTTATAAATGGAGGCCATACAGATCTGTCTGACTTGGAACCGTGTCACCCAGGGTGCTTGTGCAGCTGGGCATGGGAAGGGAAAAAAGCGAAATTCCCGTTACTTGTTACACTGCAAAACTGAGAGCGAAAGCGGTGGGGACACAGTCTGGCACAGCAAGAACACGAGCCAGGGAAGGAACTCCTGGTGTGAGTGTCCCTTGCTGCACAACACGGGGAAGCCTAAGGGACAGGCTGATGGAAGGGGGTTTTCCTGCTGCTTGGGTGTCTCTGCTTCTCCTGGGTGTCTGCGAGACGATGGAAGGGGGTTTTCCTGCTGCTTGGGTGTCTCTGCTTCTCCTGGGTGTCTGAGGTCAGCTACACTTAGCCATGTGCCTCCTTCCCCAAAGCTCTGCAGCCCTTCGCTGCCTGCAGCTCCCTGTCCAAGGGGACACCGCACCCCATCACCTGCCCCCACAATGCAGAGCACAGGAATCGTTTGCCAGGCAGGAGAAAAGAGGAAACAGAGGAAGCTACTGGCAATTGTCCCTAGGGAAGCCATGGTTGCAGCTGCTAAGCATGCCCTGCCTGTGGCAGGACGGGTTCCCACTTTCTTGCTTGCCTTCTTTACCATCAGGAGCAAGCAGCTGAAAGGGAAAGAATGGGAAGGACCGTGTCTGGGCAGCAAACTGTTTCTTGCAGCACAGCTGGGACCTCGCTGAACCTTCCACCTTGCTGGTGGTGCCAAAGCTGGCCATGCAACTCACCCATCAGGCTCTGCCGCTCCTCCTTCTTCTTCGCCTTCTGCTAAGCATGCCCTGCCCGTGGCAGGACTGGTTTCCACTTTCTTGCTTGCAATCCCCTCCTTTACCATCAGGAGCAAGTGGCTGAACAGGAAAGAATGGGAAGGACCGTGTCCGGACAGCAATCTGTTTTCTTGCAGCACAGCTGGGACCTCGCTGAACCTTCCACCTTGCTGGTGGTGCCAAAGCTGGCCATGCAACTCACCCATCAGGCTCTGCCGCTCCTCCTTCTTCTTCGCCTTCTGCTTGGCCTCCAGCTGGACGATGGAGAGCGGAGGGGGAACGATGGGGCTGGGCATCGCGCTGGCAGCAAACCTCGCGAGCAGGCCCAGGCCGCTCTCATCGAGGGCAGGCGACGAGGGCCTGTCAGTGCCGTCCGTGCCGTAGCCCTCCACCTCCTCCTCTTCATCCTCCTCTTCGTCCTCCTCTGAGCTGGAATCTAGCACGCAGAAAAGAGGGAGCCCGTTACAAACCTCACGGGGCTGCGGCCGCGTTTCCACCCCGAGCCGCTTGCTCTCCTGCTGCTCTGTGCTCACCCCAGTAGCATGAGCCAAGTGACAAGACGTTGGCCATGGACACCCAAATCTTTGCAGCCGTATAGCTGGTGTCAGCCTGGCTGCTACCCCCTTGCAGGGCACAGCACCACGGGGTAGGCAGCGAGGACCCATCCAAGGCCAGGGAGGGAAGTGCAGGGTGCTGGACGAGCTTTGCAAACGAAGCCAGACGCCCCTTCCCTGCGATTTCCAGGAGGAATTAAAAGCTTAACGCCTTTGAAAATCCCAGCCTTGGAGCTGTGGGGTTCCCCTCCCGCCCACCACCGCTTCCTGCGTAATGAAATCCAATGGTGTCATCCAAACCGGAGATCGGCTTGGAAGGGGAATACCGGAGATCGGCCTGTGCCATGAGGGGGGCAAGGAGGACACAGAGAGGAGAAGGGATAGGAGGCAAAAATGCAAAGAGCGGGGAGAAAAAATAGCAACTGAAAGCAATGGATCTGGAATGGAAAAGGGGGGAAAAACAGATCTGTGGTACAGGGACACAAAGGGAGAAGAATGATGTTTGCTAGGGCAGGCTTCAGCAGGTAGCTCTGGAGCTGGCAACAAGGAGGAGCATCTAAAGACCCTGCCTCAAAACTCTCCAGGCCCCTCAGCTCCTCTCTACAGCTTGGGCATGGAAAAATCCAGCTCAGGAAAGGCAGGACGAGCTGCCCACAGCCCAAAGGCTAATTCTGGCAAGGAAAAGCGGCCTCGCGTGCAGGTAGCAGTGGGCCAGGATTTGCCTTTACGGTGTGTGGAGAGCAGGAATCAGCGGGCGGGATGCTCCAAAAGGGGCATCTCTCCCTTCCCAAGAGTCTGTCATCAGCTCCGAGGCAATTAATTTTAACACTGCATCCAGTTAGTGCTGCTGAGCGAGAAGCGTAATGCAAAAGTGCATAGACCACACACATATGAACACATACACATATGTATACACACATATATACACATATATAGAACTATTTAACTGCCAAAGTGGGTCTGCAAAACACACTCCATTTCTCTTGAAATTGAGGGTTTAAGTAGGATCATGAAGGATATCAGAAAATTTCAACCACTAGCAGGAGCTCTCCCTGCCCGAGCCGCTAAAGCCGACCAAATGAGAAACGGGATCCCTTCAAAATGAGCTGGACTGAACACGAAAATCCTTTTCTTTTCGCTTGTGCCCTCTGGGATAGATAAAAATGTTCTCAACAGTTGGTTGTTCCAAAAAACCACACTAACACAAGCACTATTTTTCCTCCTTGGATTATTTTTCCATGACATTAGAAATAACAGGAATATCGAAACCTGGTGTTATCATCCTTGGATTTTACCAATCGAAGGAATAGTCAGCTTTTTTAAAAAAAAGGCAAAAAGAAAAAAAAAAGGAGAGCTTATCTCCATAGCATACATCAAATAACCACAACAAAATACTGATTTTTTTTACTGCATAAATATCCCTTCCCCATTTCAGTTGCTCTGACTAGTTCCTCATGACATAAAAACACTGCTAACCCTACAGTCCTTCAGTAAATACCAAACTATCTGAGCCCTCTTCACTTCTTGCATAAAAAACACACACCAAAACAAAAATCCCCAGGATCGATTAGGACCAGACTCCTTCCTCCAAGGAACAGAGAGAAAAGGGGACAAAACTGCTATTTCTGTAGCAGTTTTCTACTCTGTTTTCCCCAAAATAATGCAAATTCCATGCAATGGAATTTTTCTATTCCAAGACAGAGAAACTACCTGCCTGACCAGCAGCAAAATGAAGTGTGTTTGGTGCTCACAGGGCACCAGCACAGGTGTCAAGCTGGGTGGTGGCCCTGCTAAAACGGCTCTTTTTTCACTCCAAAGTGGGATGTCCCAATTTTGGCCACATTTGGGGCAGCTATGGCACAACAGCAACGCTGCCCATGTCTCTGCATGGCAATTTTGCAGCTGCCAACGCGGATTTTGCACGTGCCAGGACACAAGCGTAGCGAACAGCTCCGGTATTTCCAATGCACCAAGGTGAAGCAGATTTAAAAACCACGATGAAAGCAGCTATTACTCACGCTATGGAAAATACACGCTACAATAACGCGCCTGGCAGTTATTCTAACCTCCTTCAGATATACGGTGTCCCGTTACGGAAAGACGCCTGAAGATTGTCTTTTGTCAGCATTTTTACCAAAACACTTAATAATTTTATCTGCATGAGATTCAATTTCCAGCCTGAAAACCACATTTTCTACACGCTCGCAGGTGTCACCCGCGGGTCCAGCGGGCAGGGGGAGGGCAGCTCGCGCTGCTGCCGCTTTACACACGCGTCGTGTCCCTGCTCCTCATGCTCCTCTTTTTCCAGGGGACAAAACCTACCAAATTAAGCACTAAGAACACACCCGGGGCTCGTCTCCGAACCCACGCGCTTCCAAACTAAATCCCCCAATTTAAGTTTATGGTGGAAAATAAGCTGTTATTCTGATCCATAGCCACTCACACGGCTTCTTGGCGAGACCCGTGATAGCTGTATTTAATCTAGAGCGGGAGATTTATCTCTTCTGCACCCAGACTGTGCACAGATTTAAAACAAAGCAAGCCCAGATGCTTCATTTTGAAGCCTCCATTCTTTTTTTCTCCAATAAAGGTGATTTTGGTTAACAGTGGACTGAAAAAAAAAATTGAAAAGATATTTTTTCTTCAACTGTAGTTATATAAATGCTGAGCGTGGGCAAAAAGAAAAACATTTAAAGTCAAAAACCTCTAACTGATATTTTAAAGAGCATCTATATGTGTGTATATACCCACACATGCAATCACACATATACATAAAACTCTATAGCCAAAAAAAAAAAATCATGCTTAAATACTACTGATGCCAGATAAACTGGAGCCAATGAGGATTTTATTAAGAAAATATTTATCTGCATTCAAAAACAACAACAAAAAATAATTACGAACACTAAACTTTCTCTTTGCTTTTAACAACTAAGTTGCCACGGGTTTTACTGTGGGAGAGCAGTAAATGAAGAAGGTTCGTTAATGATGAGCAGAAGCTGGTTAAGCAATTTGGTTTTTAGAGACTGATGGAACACGATGGATTGGGGAGGGTGCGGAGAGGGAAGGTTTGGGGAGGGGGGAGGAAAGACACACACTTAAAAGATTCATTTCACATTATAAAAAAAACAGCATGATTTTCTCGTAACACCAAGCAGGCCTACAGCATACAAAGCAGGCTAAGTACAGGCAGACTTTAGACAGCTAGTGGGTCCTTGACATCTGATTTCTTTGGTCTGTCCAAATTCTGGAGGTTATTTCAATTTTTCCAATTTCGAATTGTACCTTTTTTGTCAAACACATCCAATTCTCATCGTTGGAGGGTTTTTTTTTCCCCATATATGCTGTGCTGCTGACTCCAGAAGTACTTTTTGCTATTAAAAATTTAAACGTTTTGCAAGAATTAAAGAGGGTCAGTCGTGCAGGGAAACGGTTATTTTTCACTGGTTTTACTTGGGGATAAATCATCCTCCAAGTCAGGGAAAGCTGGTGTTAATGTTTTAAGGAAAAAAAAGAGTCCAGAGGGGAAGGAAGTGTGGTTCTTCGGGCTCAGAAAATTCGTGGTCGCCGTATCATGATGGCTTTCAAAGCTCCAGTGAGTTTTGGCCCACAAAAGCAGCTTTCTCTCCAAGCTCACTAGGGTGAAACACCACGAGCTTTGCTCATTATCAGCCTGGTCTGCAGCAGCTCCTATCGTTTCCATCTCGAAGCAGATGGAAATGGGTCTTCCCGCAACAAGTGCTGGGTTTGATCTCAGGATTGGCGTGATCACCACCCAGCTAATTACCCCGGTACCAAAGCAGTGGGCATGGAGGCCCAGCAACCTCTAAGGAAGGCGGCAGCACCCCAAGCTGGGACGGGATAAGGGCTTCTCCAAAAGGTGTGCAAGCAACAAAGCATTTCTGGAGTCCTCAAGCACACACGCAAGCATATCCTCCGTGCGAGATTCTTCATGGACAGAGGAAAACCCAAAGTGCACAGCAATCATCTTCAAAATCAATATAACCGAGAGAATGCAAAGAGCTACGTGTCATTATTCATGGAGGCAACATCGAAATGTCCGAGGCTGACAAATGACATAAAGAAAAGTGATTTTTGCCTACCTACATAACAATGGTCAAGGTTCGGGTTCATGGCTAGAGACCCTCGCTGAGAAGTGTCTGCCCTACAACCAGCCAACCACTTTGCTTCTTTAGTGCAGCGTGAGAGCAAATGCAAGAGACCGACACAGACATTCAAAGCGTCATGGATAGGGGCAAGGGTGAAAGGGTTGGTCAAGCAGCTGCAAGGAGAAAGCGAGCACTTCTAGAAAAGCTGAGGTTATTAATCGGTTTAGTATCAGGGAAAGCCATTAGAAACCCTATTACCCAAATATCCCTTCAAGTAATGCTTCTGAGAGAACAAAAAAAAAGGAAAAAAAATCATTTGCAGAAAAAACAAAGCTGTAATCGATAATCCCTCCCCGCCTCCCTCTCCTTACCCACCTCTCCCACCCCAGGAGGGTTTGCATCTTTGGTTTCCCCACCACTAAATGATATCCCGGAGGAATTTATAAAGCACTGCCCCATTTTGTTCCAGATTCCCCGTCCTCCTCCCACGTCCCCTCCTCTCCCAAGCCCTTACCCCATAAAATTGTGATCTTTCTTTCTTTCTTTTTTTTTTTTTTTAAGCAGACAAATTACTTGAAAAAATTAGACAGAGCCAATTGCAGACAAGTTACCTATCTGCTTATCTGGAGCAAAACCAAAAAAACAAACCCCCCAAAACCCTCGAGAACTTGGAAACTAAAAGGGATTGATATCCTCAAAATTTCCAACAGCAGCAAAGGGGAAAAAATGATAAAAACAAAGCAAAAACAAAGAAAAGCTGCAGAAAGGAGCAGGGAAGGGAAAAGATGTCAAGTCGAATGGAAGTTAACACAGACTCTTCACAGAAATGCAAAAATATCACCCTTAGAGGAAATCCCCCATGCCCAGAATATTTTGGATTCTCTAAGGAATCCAAAATTTTTGTTTTTCTTTTTCTCCTTTATGAAGTGGGTATTTCTCTCTTTTTGGATTTGCTTTTAAATGCATTGATGGATCCAGCCCGGAAACACATCAAACCGAATCAGTGTGCTGCATCTTTCTGCTGCGCAGGCTAATTTTGCTTAGCTGAAATTCTCTATTTGGGAAGCTGGGTTTGGAGGCAGGAGAAAACAAATGGGTGCATGGAAGAGATTAAAAAATAATAATAATAAAATAAATAATAATAATAAAGAAAAAAAACAGAGAAAAACTATCCTGCCCTGTCTTGTATTAACAGCTGTGTAGGCAGTGTGAAATGCTACAAAGCTTTTGCTGTGCTACATGCAGATCTGCTGTGTAACTTAAACGATAACAACTGGGGATGCTCTCGCTTAGCATTCAGCCCAGACGAGCTACCTTCTTTTGGGAGCCGAGGGCTCATTAAAATGACCTTTCCCCACAATTATTATTTAATGAGTGCGCTCTAAAACAGAAACCCCTTGTGCCTCTGGAGGAAAAAAGTCTCAAGTAATCTCTTTTCCCACTGAAGTACTAATGACAGGCTGACAAAAAAAAAAAAAAAAGAAAGAAAAGACATAAAAAAAAAGAAGGATAAAGAATCTGGGGTGAGGGTGGGGGAGGAAAAGCGCCAAGTCAAATTTAATGCAGTAATTGCCACATCTCTGGACATTCGGTTATGCTTGGGCATGCGAAGAAAAAAATAGAATTTTAAAAAAACAGTACTGGAAAAAAGAGACTTTAAATGTGTGCTTTAGGGAATGAAAAAGAAAAACCTCTGGCTTTCAAATAGTGGAGACCTGGCGCTCAGCACCCACCCGGAGCTCTGGGAAGGACCGAAATCCATTCAAAGAGCCTACCAAGAGTGGGAAAAAGTCAGGAAAATAAAAGAAAAAAAAAAGAGGAAAAAATCCATGATGGACAAAAAGAAAAAAAAATAGAAAAAACGAAATTAAAAGGGTGAGGGGGTTGTGAGAGAGAGGCCTAGGCTTTAATCTTGACAAAGGCAGCAGAGGACAGTTGCTAGCAGGGATATTTGAATAATAGAGAGTACCCAAGACTAGGTTAATTCCAGTTCTACTCATGGGGAGTGGGAGCAGGAGGGGGATGCAGAGCAGCATGGAGGGAAGCGGCAACCTACTCGCCTAATAGGAGACACAGCAAGAGAGACAAGGTACACAGGTTTAGTTAAAAATTAACTCGGTATGTTTAATAAAGCTTGGTATACCAAATCGCAGTACAAACATCAAGTCACATGGCCACACGACAGTATCCCGGTATTAAAAAGAAATAATAATAAAAATTAAAAAAGGAAGGAAGGAAAAAAAAAAGGAAGAAAAGAAAAAAAGGAGGAAAATAAACAACAAATGAAAAGCTCCTTCCAAACCTCTACAAAGGCCCATGACAAAATAAAATAATTAGAAAAATAATATAATAAGGATGATAAAAATAATAAGAATAATAAGGATAATAATAATAAAAATAATAAAATAATAATAAAGTGGTGATGGTAACAAGGGAGGAAGTGAGGGTAAAAACTGAAGGGAGGAAGGGGAGCAGGAAAGCAGGGGAGAGGTGGACACTAAAACCTAGTTGATAGAAAAGCTCTCAAGGAGCCAGCTGGTAATAATATCACAATGATACAAGTACAAAAAATAAAAAAGATAAAAAAGATAAAATAAAATAAAAGCAGGGCTGATGAAGCAGGCTACGCTGCCAAGAACAAAGATGGCCGCCCTCACTCCGACCATCAAAATGGCTGACCCGGCCCGCCAGGCCCC